TAAGTACAAGTTGTTCCTGTTTGTTTTTTTCAATTTCTGCTTTATTTTTTATCTGAACTTTTTCGTTCCAGATCTATCTGCGATTTCAGCTCTTTAGTACTGGTCAGAATATCTTGCTTTAAGAGTTGAGTCTCACTTTTGATCAAGTCTGCTATTTTATTTAACATTTGGCTACTGCTCATTTCTTTCTCCGGTTTCCCCGGTTCTTCCCTCTCACTTCTTCCTTCTGATCCAACTGGTTTTGCAGTTAGACATGGCAATGATGTTGAGGTTCCGCTCCCTGATTGGGGAGGGGTCCTTTTTAGCTGATTGCCCTTTTGAGGGGGGGGGGCTGCGTCTAACTGCACTCATGTCTTTAGGAAGCTGAGGAGCCTGGGAAGCCTGTTGTCGTTCCTTCCCTTTTTCCTCTCTCCTCCCTCTCTTTCTCCTTCCTTCCTTCCTTCCCACTCTTTTCTCATTCCTTCCCTATCCTCCTTCCCTCTCTTTCTCCTTCCTTCCTTCTCACCCTTTTGTCATTCCTTCGCTCTGTCCTCCCTTCTTCCCTCTCTCTTTCTCCTTCCTTCCTTCCTTCCTTCCTTCTTTTCCACCCTTTCACCATTCCTTTCCCTTTTCCTCCCTCCTTCCCTCTCTTTCTTCTTCCTTCCTTCTTTCCTTCCTTCCTTCTCACCCTTTTGTCATTCCTTCCCTCTGTCCTCCCTTCTTCCCTCTCTCTTTATCCTTCCTTCCTTTCCACCCTTTTGCCATTCCTTTCCCTTTTCCTCCCTCCTTCCCTCTCTTTCTTCTTCCTTCCTTTCTTCCCACCCTTTTGTTGTTCCTTTCCTCTGTCCTCCCTTCTTCCCTCTCTCTTTCTCCTTCCTTCCTTTCCACCCTTTTGCCATTCCTTTCCCTTTTCCTCCCTCCTTCCCTCTCTTTCTTCTTCCTTCCTTTCTTCCCACCCTTTTGTTGTTCCTTTCCTCTGTCCTCCCTTCTTCCCTCTCTCTTTCTCCTTCCTTCCTTTCCACCCTTTTGCCATTCCTTTCCCTTTTCCTCCCTCCTTCCCTCTCTTTCTTTCCCTTCCTTCTCTTTTGTCTCCTTCCTTCTCCTTCCCTCGCCTCCCTCCCTTCATCCCTTCTTTCTTCCCTTTCCTCTTTCCTTCCTTCCCCCCTTTCTTCCTTCTCTTTTTCCTTCCTCCTTTCCTCCTGGGGAATGTTTAGCTGGGAGAAGATAAGCTAGAGGAGGAACATGAGAACCATGTTTCAAGATGGCCCAGTTTACCTTTACATCTCTCCCTATGAACCATCTAAGTGCTTAAGATCATCTGGTGAGGCCCTCCACTCAGTCCCACCTCTTTTGCAGATGCGACTGGCGGTAACGAAAGACATGGCTTTCTCAGTGGTAGCCTGTCAGCTATGGAATGCCCTTCCTAAAAATATTAGATCAGCCCCCTCCCTCCTAACATTTCGAAAGCGAGTCACAACTTGGCTGTTTGAGCAGGCTATTTGAGCAGGCATTTGCAGACCCAGTGTAACAGACTAATTGAGATCCACGGAACAATTGGACGATGCGACGGAAAAATGATTTTAGTGATGAGACGCTGAGGACTTGTGTTTTATGGCTTTTATTGTTTTATTGCTTTTATATGGTTTATATTATATGTAATATGTTTAAGCATCCTCAGAGGTAGTGGGGTCTATTGGAACTAGGAAAATGGGTTTATATATCTGTGGAATGACCAGGGTGGGGCAAAGAACTCTTGTCTGCTGGAGCTCGGTGTGAATGTTTCAACTGACCACCTTGATTAGCATTTGATGGCCTGGCAGTGCCTGGGGCAATCTTTTGTTGAGAGGTGATTAGATGTGCCTGACTGTTTCCCCTCTGTTGTTTTGCTGTTGTAATTTTAGAGTTTTTTAATACTGGTGGCCAGATTTTGTTCATTTTCATGGTTTCCTCCTTTCTGTTGAAATTGTCCACATGCTTGTGGATTTCAATGGCTTCTCTGTGTAGTCTGACATGGTGGTTGTGAGAGTGGTCCAGAATTTCTGCATTCTCAAATAATATGCTGTGTCCAGGTTGGTTCATCAGGTGCTCTGCCTGATTATTATTATTATTATTATTATTATTATTATTATTATTATTATATCAGGAGTAGACAAGACGGGGTCTCATGGATACACCTTTTCTCTCCCATCCATCATCTCATCCTGACCAAACGTTTGGACCTCTTTTGGGCTCTTGACCAAATGTTTGGACCTCTTTTTGTTTTTGCTGCATCTGTGGCAAGCATCCTCAGAGGTAGTGAGGTCTGTTGGAACTAGGAAAAATTGATTTATATATCTGTGGAATGACCAGGGTGGGACAAAGGACTCTTGTCTGTTGGAGCTAGGTGTGAATGTTTCAACTGACCTCCTTGATTAGCATTTTGGCAAGCATCCTCACTGCCTCTGAGGATGCTTGCCATAGATGCAGGCGAAACGTCAGGAGAGAATGCTTCTAGAACATGACCATATAGCCCGAAAAACCTACAACAACCCAGTGATTCCAGCCATGAAAGTCTTCGACAATACATCTGATTTCTTTGTCATCAAAAACACAGATATGTGCTTTTCACCTTAAGAACAGACAAGCATCTCGAACTCTGAGGATTACCTGGGAAGGAATCCCACTGGAGCACTGCAGCACACCCAAATATCTGGGAGTCACTCTGGACCATACTCTGACTTAACAAGAGGCACTGCTTGAATATCAAGCAAAAAGTGGGTGCTAGGAATAATATCATACGAAAGCTGACGGGCACAACCTGAGGATCACAACCAGACACAGTGGAGACATCTGCACTGGAGCTTTGCTACTCTGTTGCTGAATGCGCATGCCCAGTGTGGAACACATCTCACCACGTTAGAACAGTGGATGTGGCTCTTAATGAGACATGCCACATTATTACAGGATGTCTATGCCACATTTCAAACATTTCCCATCTTTCCTTCACTTTCTGCCTCCAAAAGAGAATAAGAAGGGAATGAAAGGGCACCCACACCGCTCCGGCCCACTATGTGCCCCCCCCCCCAAGTTAGAACGTATTATATAATAACTAGCTGTGCCCTGCCACGCGTTGCTGTGGCCAACCTTCTCTCCCTCTTTCTCTCCTTCTTTCTCTCTTTCCTTCCTTTCTTCTTTTTCTTTCCCTATGTCTCATCTTTCTTCCATCTCTACCTGTTTCTTTCCTCCCTTCTTCTCTCCTCCTTTTTCCCTCCTCTCATTACTTCTTGACTGTCCCTTCCATTTAATAAGGAAATGAAGAATGGGAAAGAAGGAGGAAAGGAAGGAGGGACAGGAAGGAAGGAAAAAAGGAGGGGGGAAAGAAGGGAAGGAAGGGGGAAAAAGGAGGGACATGAAGGGAGGGAGGAGAAGGAAGGTGGAAGGAAGGAGGGGGATGAAGAAAGGAGGGAGGGAAGGAAATAAGGGTGGAAGGAAATGAAAGGGAAAGAAGGAGGAAAGGGAGGGAGGAAAAGAAGGAAATGAAGAAGGAAGGAGGGACAGGAAGGAAGGAAAAAGCGAGGGAGGGAAAGAAGGGAAGGAAGGGAAAAAGGAGGGACAGGAAGGGAGGGAGAAAGGAGGGAAAGAAAGGAGGGGGGGGAAGAAAGGAGGGAGGGAAGGAAATGAAGGGGAAGGAAATGAAGAAAGGGAAAGGAGGAAAAGGAGGGAGGAAAAGAAGGAAAGGAAGAAGGAAGGAGGGACAGGAAGGAAGGAAAAGGGAAGGAAGGAGGGACAGGAAGGAAGGAGGGAAGGAAATGAAGGGGAAGGAAATAAAGAAAGGGAAAGAAAGAGGAAAGGAAGGGAGGGAGGGAGGAAAGGAAGGAGGACAGGAAGGAAGGGAAGGAGGGAAAGAAGGAAAGGAAGGAGAAGGAAGAAAAGGAAAGAAAGGGAGGAAAGAAGGGAAGGGAGGGAGAGAAGGAAGGTCCTTCATTCAAGCACTGTGGACCTTCCTCGTCCCCCTCCCCCCCTCCCCTTCTTCCTTGCGTGGATGCTCCGTTGCTGCTGCCATTGCTGCTGCTTTCCCAACAGGTAGTGAGGGAGCCTGTGTGTGTGTGTGCCGCGCGGGGGTGGGGGGTGGGGGGGTGGGGGGTGAGGGTGTGTGTGTGTGTGTGCCGGAAGGAAGGGGGCATGTCTTACTGGAGTGAATGTGTGTGTGTGTGGCGGAAGGTGTGTGTGGGCGGCGGGGGGAGGAGTGAAGGAGCGTTGTGTGTGTGTGTGTGTGTGTTTGCGACGGGGAGGAGTGAGTCAGGGAGGGAAGGGGTGGGGGGAAAGGAAGGGGGCGTGTCTTACCGGCGTGAGTGTGTGTGTGTGGCGGCGTGAGCAGGGTAAGATGAAGGAGGGTGAGTTGCGATGGTTTTGACAGGGCGGGAAGCGGCGCGGCGTGAGGATGGGGGCGTGGCTTGCGCGGAGGGAACATTGGCCGCCAGGCCATGTGCGCGTGCCAGGGAACTTGCGGCTGGGTGCCAATGCGCATGCTCAGTTGTTTTGCCGTTTTGTGAGTGTGGTGTTGTGTTGTTTTTGATTTTGATTGGGTTTGTTTGTACCTAGTGGGTTGAGGTATGTGCATGGGAATTTTGGTTAATTTCTGTTGGGGGGTTTTTGAGTTTTGCTTCCTCATACGACGCCACTTCGGATTTTATATATATAGATGATAATAATAATAATAATAATAATAATAATAATAATAATAATAACTTTATTTGTACCTCGCTACCATCTCCCCAAGGGACTCGGTGTGGCTTACATGAGGCCGAGCTCACAGCACATCAATAAACAAAGGCAATAACAAATAATCAATACAAACAATTAAAATAAAATAAAATAAATAAAACTCAAAAACAAAAATACACAATAAGCAATAACAATAATAACATTGTTAGTATTGTTATTGTTTATTGCTCATGCAGCCTGACAAGGGGTGGGCGCTCTTTAAGCAAAAGACGGGATATCAAAACCAAATTCTGCTTGAGATTCTGTGAAGCCAATACCTTCTTAGTTAGTGCTTTCGGAAGTGTCCCAAACTGGGGTTCCGAAGGTCGATCCACTGGATTGTTGATATCAGAAGGGACAGACTCTGTCCTCCGTAATCGCGGTACTACTGATCACAAGGGGAAGAAAAGAGAAGAAGAAAACATGGATCTGTGTTTCACGAAATCACTAACCAAATGGCTGGGATCTGGGGAGGAAAGAGGAGATGGAGGAGAAGGAAAAAAAGACACACTTACTGGGTAAGAAAGATATTCTGCAAGGTGGGGCTTCTTTTGTACATTTGTTATGACACTTCAACCTGTAAGACAGGAAAGACACATTAGATAGGAGCTAGCTGTCTTATGGAATGACATCGAAGGATTTCCCAGAAGACCTGAAAACATTATGGTACATTTATTAGACTGCCAGGCTGAGACCAGAGAGACTGAAATTCAATCTCCATCCTTGTCTAGGGAACTCACTAAGTTACTACAAGCCAGTTACTATCCTAGAATTTTGGCGAAAATGGAAGAACGGACTCAATGTTTAACCTTTACACGAATGCTCAGCCATGCCAGAAGGGACAGAGGCTTTCATCTATGCTGATGATCGTGCCATCACCATTCAAGCATGGAGCTTTGAAATGGTTGAACAGAAGATCTCAGAACCTTTAGGCGTGTCATGTATCATGTTCTGCAGTTGATGGTGGTTGGTGGTGATAGGCCTAGCAGTTAGTGATGGAAGGTTAATGTAAGTCTTAGTTCTAAAGCAGTGTTTCTCAACCTTCCTCATGCCGCGACCCCTTAATACAGTTCCTCATGTTGAGGTGACCCCCCAACCATAAAATTATTTTTGTTGCTACTTCATAATTGTAATTTGGCCACTGTTATGAATTGTAATGTAAATATCTGAGATGCACGATGTATTTTCATTCACTGGACCAAATTTGGCATAAATACCAGATACACCCACATTTGAATATTGGTGGGGTTGGGGGTGGATTGTTTTTGTCATTTGGGAGTTGTAGTTGCTGGGATTTATAGTTCACCTACCACCAAAGAGCATTCCAAACTCCACCAATGATGGAATTGAACCAGTCTTAGCACACAGAACATGACCAACATAAGATACCGGAAGGGTTTGGTGGGCATTGATCTTGAGTTTGGGAGTTGTAGTTCACCTATATCCAGAGATCGCTGTAAACTCAAACAATGATGGATCTGGACCAGGGGTAGGGAACCTTTGGCCCTCCAGCTGTGGTGGACTTCAACTCCCACAATTCCTTGAGGCTCGGCATTGGGCCAAGGTAAGCCTTTGGGGCGAATGCCGAGCCTCAAGGAATTGTGGGAGTTGAAGTCCACCACAGCTGGAGGGCCAAAGGTTCCCTACCCCTGATCTGGACCAAACTTAGCATGAATACTCAATATGCCCCAATGTGAACACTGGTGGAGTTTGGGGGAAATAGACCTTGACATTTGGGAGTTTTAGTTGCTGGGATTTATAGTTTGCCTACAATCAAAGACCATTTTGAACCCCACCAACAATAGAAATGGGCCAAACTTCCCCCATGACCAACAGAAAATACTGTTTTCTGGTGGTCTTTGGTGACCCCTTTGACACCCCCTCGCGACCCCCTCAGGGGTCCCGACCCCCAGGCTGAGAAACGCTGTTCTAAAGGGTTGAGTAATCTGTAAGTAAGAGTTCATGGGTGAGAGCAATTAAGGATATGTAAGCGATAGGTTGCAGCTATTTGATATAATGAGGTAACCTTGGGACTGATCTTCGGGAAAAAAGTATTTGTCTTATTTTGATGGTAGATGCTGCTGGTTTCCCCCCAGGTTTGTGGATTTTCGGTATCCTGACCTATCCCCTGTACTCTTGGAATCCTGGAACTTGGAATCTCTGGACTTAGGAAGAACTTCCTGACTGTGAGAGCCGTTCAGCAGTGGTACTCTCTGCCTTGGAGTGTGGTGGAGGCTCCTTCTTTGGAAGCTTTTAAACAGAGGCTGGATGGCCATCTGTCAGGGATGCTTTGAATGCAATATTCCTGCTTCTAAGCAGGGGGTTGGACTGGATGGCCCATGAGGTCTCTTCCAACTCTATGATTCTATGACTGGCTTTTGATTATAGTATAGATTCTTGATCCCTGGACTTTGCTCACTGAACTCTCAGCATTTTACCACTGGACTGAACCCTTTGACTACGGTGTAGTGTTTACTATCAGTTTTTGTTTTATATTCTGTGGCTGAGTGCTATCTTTATGTTTTATGTTTTGGACTATTAAAAGAGCCAGACAGTAAGTGCTGCTTTAATTAAATTGTTTAACACAAACTGGGAGTTTGTTTGGTTCACCTCTGCCGTAATAACGGCAGAGCCCTGACATCGTGACAAGGCGTTCTTACTGCCTATTACAGGGAAAACCAGCTGAATCGTAATCCATCTAAAATGCAGACACATGCTTTTCATCTTCATTTAAAATATTTAAAACATTTAAAACTGATATTGTACTATATATATACACACACACACACATACAATATATTATATTATTAGCATGGTACAACATCAGTTTTAAATATTGCTATATTGTACTATACCAGTTATATTGTAATATTATTAGTAATATCACATGTAATATAAATATATAATTATAATATCATATTATTATTAGTATTATATTGCATTACATTATAATATTACTATTATATTAATATTAATACTATTATGAATTACTTCACCCATATTCTTTTAGCCCTTCGTGTTTCTTTATTGCATGCTCACCTGCAGTGTTTACATTTCACTCCAAACATCATGCTTTTCTGACACACCTGGCACACCTGAGACAGCCACGACTTTGTTGAGAATCTGGATGATATTGAAACAAAAACATAAAGAAGAAGAAAAATGGAAGGAAACATATTATTGTAAAAGGGTATATGCGATATGTAGACACATTCAGCTTTGCATTTCAGCTTTGCAAGGTAGGACAGGCACCAAGAAATTACTGTATATATTCGAGTATAAGCCTAGTTTTTCAGCCCTTTTTTTAGGCTGAAAAAGCCCCTCTTGGCTTATACTCGAATCAAGATTATTTATTATTTTACTCTGTTATTATTATTATTATTTTCATTTCATTTATTATTTTATTCTATTTATTATTATTACATTTATCATTTTACTCTACTATTATACATGTATTATTTTACTGTATAATTGTTGTTATTGCTACATTCATGATTTTACTCTTTTTATTATTGTTGTTACATTTATTATTTTCCTCTATTATTATTGGAAGGATACGTAAGCACATTTACATTGAAGAAGGTAAATAATCATTTGATCAGAGTTGGACAGTCTTATCTTAAATTACCATTTTGTAAATATTCAAAAATATATAACCTACTGATTCCTCAATTAATGTAATTTAATTGGTATCTATTTTTATTTTGGAATTTACCTGTAGTGGCTGCATTTCCCACCCTCGGCTTATACTCGAGTCAATCTGTTTTCTTAGTTTTTTGTGGTAAAATAAGGTGTCTTGGCTTATATTCGGGTCGGCTTATACTCGAGTATATACGGTAAGTTATTAAATACAGCAGAGTATGTTTACTTTGCTGTGTGAAGGGGAATTATCCAGGTTAAAAATCCTAGAATTCTCCAGGGTTCCTAGAAGCTGTAATTCTCCAGGATAGGGGGTGATGGTGTAAATCAGGGGTCCTCAAACTAAGGCCCAGGGGTCGGATACGGCTCTCCAAGGTCATTTACCCAGGCCTTGCTCAGGGTTAACCAAAGTCTGAAATGACTTGAAAGCACACAACAACAACAACAACAATCCTATCTCATCAGGCCCACACTTCCCATTGAAATACTAATAAGTTTCTATTTGTTAAAATTGTTCTTCATTTTAATTATTGTATTGTTTTTAAGTGTTTTTTGCACTACAAATAAGAGCCAGCTGCGCCCGTACCTTGGGAAGTCTGACTTGGCCACGGCAGTCCACGCTCTGGTTACATCCCGCTTAGATTACTGCCAACGCTCTACGTGGGGTTGCCTTTGAAGACAGCTCGGAAGCTTCAACTAGTCCAACGCTCGGCAGCCATGATTCTAACAGGAGCGGGACGCAGGGAGCATACAACCCCCCTGTTGCGCCAACTCCACTGGCTGCCGACTTGCTACCGGGCTCAATTCAAAGTGCTGGCGTTGACCTTTAAAGCCCTAAACGGTTCCGGCCCAAGCTACCTATCCGACCGCATCTCTGCCTATGAACCCACCAGGACTTTGAGATCTTCCGGGGAGGCCCTGCTCTCGATCCCGCCAGCTTCACAAGCACGGCTGGCGGGGACGAGAGATAGGGCCTTCTCGGTGGTGGCTCCCCGGCTGTGGAACGCCCTTCCCACAGACATTAGATTAGCACCATCTCTAATGGTATTCCGCAAAAAAGTAAAGACCTGGTTATTTGTGCAGGCGTTCGAATAATTAGTGCAATGAATGGTAATGACATAGGAATGGAACAATGGATGACGAATCTGGATCATGTTTTTTAGTGATGAGACGCTAGTGAATGGTTATTATAGTAATTGTGTACTAATTGTGTATTAGATTAGGTTGTTAACTGATTTTTATATTGGTGCATTGAATTTTGCTGTTTCTTGTGTGTTGTGAACCGCTGTGAGTCGCCTCTGGGCTGAGAACAGCGGTATAGAAGTAAAGTAAATAAATAATAAATAATAAATACAAATAAGATATGTGCAGCGTGCATAGGAATTCATTCATGTTATTTTCAAATTATAATCCGGCCCTCCAACAGTTTGAAGGACTGCAACTTGTCCCTGTTTAAAAAGTTTGAAGATCCCTGCTGTAAATAGTATAAAGGGCAAGTAACTAACTGGGCTGCTCATGTCGCGACCCACAAAATGCTGAGTCTCAACAGCTCACCTCCCTTCCACCCACTCTTCTCTGAGTGCCCCCTTGGCATTGTTATAATCCACGTACAAGCAAAAACTATATCTTTTCTGGAGCAACCAAACTGCAATGCCCCAAGATTGTTCAACCTCTTGCGTTGGGCTGCCCAGGATCCCAGGAAAACTGCCCTTTTCCTGGTTATTATCGGGGGTAGAGAAGGGTGGTGTACAAATATTTGAAATAAATAAATTAAAGTATTTACCTGTGTGTTACAGCCAAACCAATGTCTCTTCGTACCGTCTGGGGGGATCCCTGGGGGACATCTAAGAAATGAAGACATACAAAAAGACACCATATCAATTCACATCTAGAGTGCACTGAAAAGGAGGGTTTCCACTGGAATTAACAGAACAGGTGATACGGTCCACTTGTACAGCTCTCTGGGATGCAGCAGCTTTGATATTCTACACATCTCAATTATCCAAGTTGTGCCATCTCTACAAAGTTCTAGAGAAACTTATTTTGCATCGAATTATGGGGGAAAAAACAGAAGAACGGCCTGCCTCAGGGGAGCATGCTTGCTCCATCCATGTTTAATATTTACACCAGGGGTCCCCAAACTACGGCCCGCGGGCCACTTCTGGCCCGCCAAGGGCCCTGATCCGGCCCGCGGAGGAGGAGCGACACCCCTCCCACACGGTGCCCTTCCGTTGGCTGGCTCACGCTATCCATCAGGCCCGATGGACAGCGTGAGCCAGCCAAGGGCAGCTGCTCCGCATGGCCTACTCGTGAGTAAAGCTCCTCGCGGGGAGCTTTACTCGCAAGTAGGCCGCACGGGGCTGCTCCTCCCTTGGCAGGCTCACGCTATCCTTCAGGCCCGATGGACAGCATGAACCAGCCAAGGGAGGCTGCCCCGGCACTCCATGCAGTCATGCCGGCCACATGACCTTGAAGGTGTCTACGGACAACGCCGGCTCTTCGACTTAGAAATGCAGATGAGCACCACACCCCAGAGTCAGACACGACTGGACTTCATTTTAGAGGAAAACCTTTAACCAGGAAAATTGGGTAGGAGAAAGAACTCTTGCCTGTTGGAGGTAGGTATGAATGTTTCAATTGGCCACCTTGATTGCCATTTCATAGCCTGACAGTTTTTAGGGAGAATCCTTTGTTGAGAGGTGATTAGCTGGCCCTGATTGTTTCTTGTCTGGAGTTCCCCTGTGTTTGAGTGTTGTTCTTTATTTACAGTTATAATTTTAGAGTTTTTTAAATACTGGTAGCCAGATTTTGTTCAGACTAGAAACAGGGAGATTTCCCATTCTCTGCTCCTGGAATTACTGCCTAAAGAGGGCGAGAAAGGACCCCCTCTAAGGGCCCTTCCACACCGCAAAATAAGATATGTGCAGTGTGCATAGGGATTTTTTTATTGATGTTTTTTTAAAAAAACTATAGTCCGGCCCTCCATCGGTCTGAGGGACAGTGAACTGGCCCCCGGGTTAAAAAGTTTGAGGACCCCTGATTTACACAAATAATCAGCCACTGCCAGAAGGGAGAGTATGCACTGTTGATTGCACATGTGTCATTGTGGTTGTGTTTATGTATTGCTGTCTGTGTGTGGCAATTGGAGTGCTTCTGTGAGCCGCCCCGAGTCTCTTTGGAGAGATGGTGGCAGGGTACAAAGATGATATTATTATTATTATTATTATTATTATTATTATTATTATTATTATCATCTGTGCTGACGATCATGCCATCACCACTCAAGCAAGGGCCTTTGACATGGTTGAACTGAAGCTCTCAGAAACTTTAGGCACTCTTACTGCCTATTACAGAGAAAACCATCTGATTGTCGAAGGCTTTCATGGCCAGAATCACTGGGTTGTTGTAGGTTTTTTCGGGCTATATGGCCATGTTCTAGAGGCATTCTCTCCTGACGTTTCGCTGCATCTGTGGCAAGCATCCTCAGAGGTAGAGAGGTCTGTTGGAACTAGGAAAAATGGATTTATATATCTGTGGAATGACCAGGGTGGGACAAAGGACTCTCGTCTGTTGGAGCTAGGTGTGAATGTTTCAACTGACCACCTTGATTAGCATACAATGGGCTGACTGTGCCTGGAGCAAACTTTTGTTGAGAGGTGATTAGATTTCCCTGATTGTTTCCCTTCTGTTGTTTTGCTGTTGTAATTTTAGAGTTTTTTAATACTGGTAGCCAGATTTTGTTCATTTTCATGGTTTCCTCTTTTCTGTTGAAATTGTCCACATGCTTGTGTATTTCAATGGCTTCTCTGTGTAGTCTGACATGGTGGTTGTGAGAGTGGTCCAGCATTTCTGCGTTCTCAAATAATATGCTTATTTATATTTTATTTATTTATTTGTCGTGTCAGAACAACCAGTCTAACAGAACAAAGCAAACAAACAGAAAAATACACAACTTGTGGGTTTGGTAGCTGGTTAAATGTCCTTTGACCAGTATCTGGCCACTTGGAGTGCTTCCGGTGTTGCTGCAAGAAGGTCCTCCATTGTGCATGTGGCTGGTTTCAGGTTGCATTGCAGCAGGTGGTCAGTGGTTTGTTTTTCTCCACACTCGCATGTCGAGGATTCCACTTTGTAGCCCCATTTCTGAAGGTTGGCTCTGCATCTCGTGGTGCCAGAGCGCAGTCTGTTCAGTGCCTTCCAAGTCGCCCAGTCCTCTGTGTGCCCAGGAGGGAGTCTCTCATTTGGTATCAGCCATTGGTTGAGGTGCTGGGTTTGAGCCTGCCACTTTTGGACTCTCGCTTGCTGAGGTGTTCCAGCGAGTGTCTCTGTAGATCTTAGAAAACTATGTCTAGATTTAAGTCGTTGGCGTGCTGGCTGATACCCAAACAGGGGATGAGCTGGAGATGTCTCTGCCTTGGTCCTTTCACTATTGGCTGCTACTTCCCGGCAGATGCCAAGTGGTGCAATACCGGCTAAGCAGTGTAATT